GCAGAGCCCCTCGCCCGCCCCCTCCGCCCCGGGTGCCCCGGGGATGCCACCTCCCCAGCTTTCGGGGGAGTCGCTCCGGGCGTCCCCCTCTGCCCCGGCGATAACCCCATCCTCTGGCGCCTTCTCGGATCTCCCAAATCCTCCCCTTTCCCGGCTCTGGCTGGGTGGGGACAGCTACCCCACCAAGCCTTCCCTCCTTAAACTTTTTTTCCCGTACCCTCTACCCCACCCCTAACTTTCTCCCAGTCTGTTTCTTGCTTCTTGGGCCAAAGTTGGGTTGAGGATTTGGGGTGCGGGGTAGGGAGACAGTCCTTCCACCCCCTCCCTCGCCCCGCCGCGTGGTCAGGGCCGGTGGCTTCTGGCCTCGAGGGACAGCTTTCCCCCTCGGTGGGGTTGGTTTGGGGCGCTCAAGTGTGAGCCGTGCCCAAGCCGGGGCTGCAGGCTTGCTTTGGGGCGAGCCAGGGGGAGTTTAGCTTTGATCGCCAAGATGGAAAAAAAAACCGCGTCAGGAAACGCATGACCCTTTGGATATGTTTGCTCAAAGGATCCACGTTTGGGAATCTAATCAACACTCTCCCTTCTCTTAAAAAAATAAAATAAAATAAAATGGGGGAGAACGCCCCACAGAACATTGAAACAGACTGGCTTTTCTTTGCCCAGAGAGAGTTGCAAACTTTGTAAATTGATTTGCACGGTAGGAACTATCCCATCTGAACCCTCGCTTGCCACCACCACCCCCCCTCCAAAAAAATGAGAAATAAAAGAGAGGAACAGGTTAATGGATCCGTACAATAGGCCTTGCAAAGGATTTTTTCTTTTTTTCTTTTGGGTTGCTTAATTGCTTTTTTAATAGTGTGCCGGGGTTTTGTTTCTCGGAAGTGTAATATGAAAGTTCATTTTTCTCCTGCCAGACCCACCCACTGAAAAATCAGCTTTCCACTTGATTGCTAGTTTTGATTTGACATCTGATTGATCACCTGTCATCCGGCTGCCTTTGATCTATTTATTCTTGATATATATCAATAAATCACTCACCATGGCAACGCAGAGTGCCAGTGACGCAAGCCTTGCCCTCTGGATTCGGAGCCAGACGCGCACAATTATTATCTTGTTTGGCTTTTAATGTGGGCGTTTTTATTTCTTTGTGTCCTTTAGTTGAATCAGGGCTTTAGCAAAAAGCTTAAGTTGTTTTTCTTCCCCCCTCTGCCTTCGCCCTCGTTCTCCGGGCGGCATCGGCTAGGGCTGGTCTTCGGCGGACCCTCCACCACGGTTCCTTCATGTTTCCACTCGTGCCAAACATCAGGGAGAAGTTCGGTGGAGCACTTTGCTAAACTTTGCGAAGCCGCCCTCAGAACAAATCCAAAGTTAGTTACAAATCTGGGCAAAGTGGGTGTTTGTGTCTGAACAGGCTGGACCACCGAGCTCATCCTCCATCGTGGCCCAGTTCCAGCCCGAGTGGCAGTGCATGTGCTTTGAAATATCCACAGTTATCTTCCCTTCCGAGCGCAGAATTGCTTCCGTGAGCCGTGTGTAGATTGCTTCAAATCGCATGCGGAAATATCATTTACAGAGCTCTGATTCCTGTGTTTCCCAATTGTTTCTCTTAGAGCAAAATAATTAAAATAATTTCAGTACCATGCATAGTTAGAACCTGCCTCGTCAGCGAGGCGATCTTTTTACAACTCTACCTCTTTTGAAAACAATTTCTCTCTCTTACCCGGGTCCGTTTCTACATTACACTCGGTTATTTTTTTTCAAACTTAGACTGCTTTGCAGTCTGACAGCTTTGGGGTGCACCCTGGCCTTCTAGACTCAGGAAGAGTAAGCCTGCTCTGTCCAGCTCTGGCTACATAAGTTTAAGTGTAGCTAGATTATTAGAGATAATGTCCTTATTGTGTCCCAAAAGAGAAGCCTGGGCAACAGTCCAGCAAGAAGTGATACTGCCCTGAAAATTACTTTTTTTCCCCCTTGTTGTTCCGGTAAAGGCCATCAACCAACTAGGCAGTAATTTAAATTACCAGAATGACTGGACATGTCTCCTTTGGTAAGCTCATTACAAAAAGTGCATTGCTCAGAATTGCACTACTTTGATTATAATTATTTTGTGATCAATGAGGATCCAGGTGTACTGAACATAATGCTGCATCACATTATTTAAATCAGATCCTTTTCATTAAGCTGATATCTCTTGGTGCTGGCTTGCCTGTTTACTATAGTGTGTGTGTGTGTGTGTGTGTGTGTGTTAGAAAGTTGTGACTGTAGTTTCAGTTTTCTGGCCTATTGTGTTCCTAGTGTCTTTATACGTTTGTTTTCGTAGCTTTTATTATTTTCCCTGAAACCCTTGTCAGGCTGAAAGGGAATAATTCATTTCGTACACAATGAGGCCCCTCTTACGGTATTTATTTGCTCACATATTAATAAAGCGGATATTCTGCCTGCAATGTTCCTTTCCTCTGAAGTCACCAACGCTGCCCTGTCTCAGCCGCGGTGGCTGTTCCCAAGGAAAGTTAGCTACTTTGGGATTCTTGAGCCAGTTACCATCCAGGGGGATGCAAAAGGTGGGCTCTAGGACTGTGGCCATCCTAACTTTTAGCACGGCTGAAAGTTAAACACAACGCACAACTGTGAGTAATTACTCCCATGGACTGATGCTGAAAGCTTGATTTCTGGCTTGATTCATGACTAATGTAAGATAGAAAAAGCCTGTGAGTGAATCAGAGCTGAGACCATCTTTCCCAAGCACTGTTCGAGGCAATTTGATTCCTTTGCATTATTAGCATTAAGTCCCATGTTTCAAGGAATCAATTAGAGAACTTTCTAATAAAGCAGGTATCCAGATAGAATGAACAAGATGATACTGTAAGTGATGGGAGTTTAGTCCGTACTTGTTTCTCCCCCCCCCCCCC